TGAGGGGCTCATCTTTTGATACTATATCTGACAATGTCTCTCTGCTATTCATAAGGTTTTCAGTAGTTAAACATTCAGAAGCAGTTTGCCTTTCCTTCGACTTAGGCTGTCGTAGTCCGCTGAAACCTGTCCACCATGGGTGACCCTGCTGGTAGTCGAAATACCAGAGGCGTAGCTTCTGAATCACAGGAACATGCAAACCACCACTCCACCTACTGTGAAGTAGAACAAACCTGTAAGAATCCTTCAACGTTACAACTTGGGCTTTTGATTTTCTTTTCTGTTCCTTCAACATGATAAATACCAAGTATGTTCCTTCCTTTTTTTCTTTTTTCAGCTCTTAAAACATCTCACCGTAATACTTACCTTCCTAAGCTGCCCTTTGAAATCTTCTGTTCAGCTCTTTTACTTCCTCATTTCTTTCTTTTACTTTAGCTACTCTGAGCTTAAGAGCAAGTCTCAGAATCTCTTCTGACAGTCATTTTGGTCTTTTAATTCTTTCCTGTCTTCTTAATGACATTTCCCTTTCTTCATATATGATTTCCTTGATGTCTTCTGTGACAGATTGAATTGTGTCTCCAAAATATGTGTCCACCTGGCTTGGTCATGATTCTCAGTGGTTTTCCAGTTAGGTAATGATGGAATGTAGCATTCTCCCATGATGAGATTTAATGTATTGTAATCATTTCCATGATGACATCTACTACGAGAGCCAATCAGCTGAAAGGACGTTTCCTCAAAGGTGTGACCTGTAACATCTTTTTATCTTACAAATATAAAAGGAAAGAAGTGAGTGGAGAGACCTATTGACTTTAAGAAAAACGAGCCAGGAGCGGCATGCACCCTTCAGCCCTGGGGTTCCTCCCTGAACAGTGAACCTCCTAGATCCAGGGAAAGATTGATCCCAAGATCCATGGAGATCACCAAGGAAACCTGAGCCTACAGAGGTTGGAAGGAGACCAGGCAGGACCTTTCCCCAAAGTTAACACAAAAGAGAGTAAAGCCTTTCCCTAGAGACGGTGCTCAGAATACAGGCTTCTAGTCTCCTCATTTGTGAGAGAAACAAATGTGTTTTTTAGAGCCTCCCACTTGTTGTTTTTCTGTTATAGAAACGTAAGATATTGACCTACAGCTCCTCTGGTCTTGGGTCATTAGTGTTCAATACATCAAACATGTTCTTGAGATGGTCTCTAAGTTCAGGTGGGGTGTACTCAAGGTCAAACTTTGGCTCGCATGGATTTGTTTTCATTTTCTTCAGCTTCAGATTGAGTTTGCGTATGAGCAATTGAGGGTCTGTTCCACAGTGCCTTGCCTCTTCTGACTGCTAAGATTGAGCTTCTCTAACGTCCTTTTACACAGATGGATTCGATTTGAAGTCTGTGTATTCTATCCATTCAGGTCCATGTATGTAATCACTGCTCACATTGTTGGCAAAACGATATTTCCAATGAATAAGTTGTTGGTTTGAAAAATTCTACCTTACAATCTCCGGCATCATTTCTATCACCAGGACCATGTTTTCTGACGACTGATCCTTTGACATGCCAATCGCCAGTAGCTACCACTGCATCTTGATTGCATGTTGTATCAATTTCAGACTGCAACAGTTGGTGAAAATCTTCCATTTCTTCATCTTTGGCATTTGTGGTTGGTACATAGATTGGATTTGAATGTTAGTCACATTAACTGGCCTTTCTTCTTCTTGTTGTTCAGGGCCATCAAGTCGATTCCAACTCATAGCGACTCTGTATAGGGTTTCTGAAGTTGTGGATCTTTGCAGAAGCAGTGGTTCTTCCTTATTGGTCTATGGCCACTGGCCAGCCACTGATGGCATTGTACTCCAAGAGAGATCTTAACCTGCTCTAAAAGAATACTTGGTGTGCCAAACATGAGACCTAGCTGTTGTTGCTATGACTAATGAGGAGGGTGAGGAGGGTGAGGAGGGTGGCTGCCTTAGAGCCGTGCCAGCAACATCCTGGAGTGAGCGAGCTTTGAGCTCAGTTCTAGGTAGAGGAGGAGGGTATGGTGTGAGGTCAGCAGGAAGATGAAACTATTTCTGGACATAGAGACAACTTCAGCTGGAGTTTCCACCCCTAAAGACCCCCTTGCTGAGCACCAAAGGAGTCCTGGTGGCACTGCGGGTTAGGCATTCGACTGCAAGATGTTGTTGTTGTTGTGAAGTGCCATTGAGTCGGTTCCGACCCACAGCAACCCTGTTTAGGGTTTCCGAGGAGCAGTTGGTGAGCTTGAACCACCGACGTTGCACTTCCCACAACTTTGCTGTCTGGCGCGTTAACCCACAGCGCCACGCCAGGACTCCAACCGCAAGATTCGCAACTCAAATCCACCAGCCCCTTCCTGGGAAGAAAACGAGGTGTCTTCTCCTGTAATGATTTAGTCTCATAAGCCCTATCTAGGAGTCCTGGTGTGGCGCTGTGGGATAAGCACTCAACCTCAAGTCAGTCTGAACCGTAAGGTCAGTGGTTCAAAGTCACCAATGGATTCTCGGAAACCCTACGCACATTGTGAGTCAGAACCAACTTGATGTCATTTCACAACAACAACAAACCCTATCTAGGATCACTGTAAGTCAGAATCAACTTGATGGTGGTTTGGTGTGGGGTTTTGATGAGCAAACACCCTTTAAACATGGTTTCCAATCCATGCAGCACCCACGATCATCTCAAGGTCTGCCTGGCTACAAAGGACAGAAATCCACTCACACTAGCCCCAGCAAGTGAGGATGGCCACGGCAGGAGGGGCGCTGAGGTAAAGAGAAACGTAGACTGAAAGAGAGACAGATGCAGACCTGGACAGATGGCCTGCCTGAGCCTGGACCCCACCCTACTTCCCTAACCCACCTGTATTCCACCTGCCAGGGTGTATGGGGTTTCAGGGTTCCAACCCCAAAAGCTAGGAGAAGCTTGAGTTGGTCCAGCCTCACTCAAGGTCATGGGTCTTGGACAGAAGGGCAGGGGTCAGAGGATAGGGTGATGACTACTCCCTTCTGGGAAACAGGGGGTCAGAGCTCAGAGAAGAGGGGTCCAGGCTGCACAGGTAGTTCCAAAGGTATCCATGAACCCATTTTACAGATATAGGAGGGAAAATAAAGCTCTAGTGACTTCAAAACTCCTCTCACTTCCAAGGAGCAAGCAGGATTAAGCTTACCCATTGGCCAGTGAAGAAGCAAAGCTGCCTCAAAAAGGCCCAGTGGAACTGTGGTCACACTGAGAAGGAAAGGTTTTCTTTCTCACTCAGACTCGGGGAGTCAGCGCTGTGCTGTTGGGTTGACCCAGGAGACCCTTGAAGCTGCCTTGTGAGGGGTCTGACTTGTCCTGGCCCCACAAAGGCCACATTAATTAGCGTGCTGGGACTAGCATACAGATGGCCCCGCCAGAATAGGCTCAGAGCTTCCTGCTCTTCCAGGCTGCTGGACCAGCCTTCCCATGGGGCAGTCTGGGTCTGAGACTGGATGCTAATTAGCCAGACCCTCCCTGTTTCCCTGAGGGAGGGACTTCAGTTGTGTGTTTGTTGTTGTTAAGTGCCATCCAGTAGGTTCCAACTTATAGCAACCCTGTATAGGGTTTCTGAAGAACAGCTGCCGGGTTTGAACCGACGACCTTACAGTTAGCAGTCCTGTGCTTATCCTACAGCACCACACCAGAACTCCAGAGCATTTATTGTTGGTGTTGGTAAGTGCCATCAAGTCAGTTCTGACTCATAGGGTTTCCAAGGAGCAGCTGGTGAGCTTTATTTAACCGCTGACCTTGTGATTCAGACTGGCCTTGTGGTCCAGCAAATTAACCCGTAGACCATTGATGGGGATGTTTATTTTGGATTTTCAAGGGCAGTGTTGCCTGTAATAAGGTCACAGAGATCTCTCCCTAAGGTTTATCCCTTTCTGAGAGCGTTGGAAACAGCCACCCTTGGGGATAGGAAGTGAAGAGAGTTGGGGTGACCAAGTTGGGGGGTAGGGTGTGTGTGACCTTGAGTAAGTATTGTGATGACCTTGAGCAGGTTGTGTGACCTTGGGCAGGTGTATGTGGTCTTTGGTTGACTTCGGCAGGTTATGTGACCTTAGGCAGGTATGTGTCACCTTTCGGTAAGAATCTGTGAACTTGAGTAAGTACAATGACCTTGGGTGGGTGCATGTGAACTTGGACAGTGTCTCCCCTCCCAGGGCCCCAGTGCCAACACCAAGGACACAAAACTGACTGAACAAGGGCCGCAGACTCAGGTCACACAGACCCATGTCATACCCACAGGCCACCTGCACAGTGTAAGCCCTCGGTCCTCATTGGCAAGTTCCAGAAAGCTGGAAACTAATGCCTTTTAATAATCCAAACCTCAGCCCAGTGTGAAGTTACTTATGGCTGACACCTGCCTGGCCCGCTGGATCTGCTGAGAGCACTGAGGATCTATGAGTGTGTTTGCTCTGGATCGCTGAAATCCAACACACCCGGAGTTCTGAAACACATCGGACCTAGGGGCCTGCGTTTAAGGTGGGCAGATCTGCATTCATTGGTCTTTCTCTGTGTGCCACCATCTTCTTAAAGGTAAATACCTGCTTGCATCTCTCTAAGCACCTGATGCCCCAGGTTTCCTGTGGTAGTTAGTCTAATAACATTAAAGCAGCCCACTGGCAACAAAAGCAAAGGATGTGTTCAGATGCCACCACAGACAACCACCACCATGTGTCATGCTGGGTGAGCAGGTCCCAGAGCACCACAGTACCCCCCAAATGTGAGCACATCTAGACCTAGTCACTTGGGGGTCCCATCTGTCTGGGAAACAGAAATCATGTAAGGAGCAAAGGAACAGCCTGTTACCTCCCAGAGAGGTGGGATGGAAGCAGGTGGTCCTCAAGGAGCCTCTAGCCAGGTGGCAGGGTGGTCCTCTTGAAGGCTCCTTGCCTACCTGGAGGGTACAGGGAAGGGCTGTGCTTGACAGGGGCCACCCTGGAACCAGGGCCTGAAGGAGCCCCTGTCTCCTCTTCACAGCTACAGAAGATGAAGGAGAAGAAGGGTTTGTACCCCGACAAGAGCGTCTACACCCAACAGATCGGCCCAGGCCTCTGCTTCGGAGCCCTGGCCCTGATGCTGCGCTTCTTCTTCGAGGTATGAGTCCCCCGCCCTGTTCACGTACTCGCTCCCAGCTCCCAGCTGTCGGGGTTCTCCTAGTCAAGGGCTTGTCTGGGGGGTGGGGATGGGGGGGAGAATATCTGAGACCAGGGAGGACACTTTGCCTTCAGAGAGATTGAGAGGAGGCGCCTGACCAATAGGAAGTGCTACTGACCACAGCCAACACTTTGAAGACCTCCATTGACTATTTATGAGGGAGGGGCAGGGAGAGGGGTGGGGGGTAAGGTGAGGTGTGGAAGGAGGGAAGGGGAGGGATGGATGGTTGGAGGAAGGGAAGAGGAGGGAGGAGGAGAAGGGGAGAGGTGAGAGGAAGGAAGGAGGGAGGGGAGGGGAGAGAGGGGGAAGACTGAGGGGAAGTGGAGGGGGGAGGAAAGAAGATGGAGGGGAAGTGGAGGGAGGGAGGAAGAGTGGGGAAGGGATGAGGAGGGGAGGGAGGAAGAACCCCTGGCCTCCTTCCTCAGATGCCCCCATGACCTGGGTAGGCTTAGGCAGGGAGGGTTCTGGACCAGCCCTGGAAGGATCACCTCCCAGCTACACAGCTGGCCGGGTGCCAGCTGGGACAGAGACCTGTGAGGTGGGAGTCTGGGGTGGGCCATGGAGGGGAGAAGAGACTGCAGACTGACCGCACGCCCACCCCGCAGGATTGGGATTACACGTACGTCCACAGCTTCTACCACTGCGCTCTGGCCATGGCCTTTGTCCTGCTACTGCCCAAGGCCAACAAGAAGGCCGGAAGTGCAGGGACCCCTGCCAAGCTGGACTGTTCCACGCTGTGCTGTGCCTGCATCTGACTCTGCTGTCCTCCCCACCCCCACCTCCACGGTCCCTTGCCCCTGTCCCAGGCAGCAGTTTCTGATGCCCCCCTCCTGGAGCGCGCAGGACAAATGTGCTCCCACATTGACACTCTGCCCCGTGTGTGCCTCTGTCCACCTGTTGGGCTTTTTCCTGGTGCCAGGCTGCTGTCTGAAAGAAAGGTCCCCAAGACTGTCCCTTCCCGCTTCCCCCGCTGCCTGTGGGCTGATTCCCCAACGTCTCCACCTCATACAACCACGAAGGTGTCTGTCAGGCACACCCTGTGTGGGGACCCATGTCATCTGTTTTCTCTGGGAAACTGGTACAAACCAGTTTGTCCCATCTCTGAATGTGCCCATTTAGGAAATAGGGCCAGTGGGCCAGCTCGGCCCCAGGCCCTGCCGGCCCACCAGCTCCCAAGTCCAACATCTTGATGACATTCACAAGTCCTCCCTGCCTGACCTTTCTACCTGCTGGGCACCTGAGATCCTTAAAAAGAAGCGCAGAGTGGGCCCGGGGCTCCAGAGGCCTGCCGCCTTGCCAAGGAGAGCCCTGAGTGGGAGACACCTCCCAGGCCAATCCTTGTGGGGGGTGGGGAAGCACGGGGAGCTCGCTGCCTGCTGCTCCCCAGTCTGGGGACGGTGGGGAGGGGGGCCACAGGGAAAGAAGGCAGAGGAAACTCAGATGCCCCATCCCAGGCCTGTCTGTCCCAGGCTCCAGGGGGTGGCGGGTGCGGGCATCCCAGACATCACCTCACCAACCTGAAACCTCCCTGGGCACCCGGCCCACCCCCTTCCTGAGTGAGCCACAGCATCTGCTAGGCAGGAAGTTACCTACACCTGTCTGGGCAGGAAGTTACCTACACCTGTCTGGGCAGGAAGTTACCTACACCTGTCTGGGTTACTTGTTTCCAGAGAGGTCCACGACTGGGGCCAGCTGGCTGTTGGTCCTAAAATCATGTCCTGCATGCCCCGGGGGCCTCAGAGCTGGCTCCCACACCAGGGCTGGGCATGAGGGTAGAATCCCCTCCTCCTCCCCCATACCCCCACCCTCAGATGCCTCCACTGGGCCTTCAGACCCCACCCCACCATGAACTGCTGCATCAGCCCTTCCTCAGATCTTGTCTGCACCCCCCTGGTCCAGGTGGGTAGGCACAGAGGACCTCACAACCCACACTGAGTTCAGCCCTTTGCTGAGCATATAGCTCACTGATGACCACCATCTGCTGCCAACTCTGTTGGGTGCCTAAGCCCCACATACCCAGTCTCGGGGCCCAAGCCAAGACCAAGGGTACAGATGGGCTGTATCACAGTCCTGTGTTTTAGATGGGGAAGCTGAAGCTTCAAGTATGGGGCCCAGGGCAGAGGAAGTGAGCACCAACTTCACAGGCCTGAGGTCACTGATGGACCTCGCACCTCTGGCCACTACTGACGCCAGGAGCAGGGGGTACCATGGCCCGAGGTCACCGAGGGACCCTTCCCCCACCCCCACCCCCGCACCACTATTGATGTCTGCAGCAGTGTGTCATGGCCCTGTCTCAGTTCAATTTCAGGCTAGCTGAGGGGCACATGAGGAGTCAGGGTCTCCTGGACCCCTGCTCCCCATCTCCCTACAAGGAGATAGGTAAAGTGGATGGTCAGGGGACCAGTGAACAGGACATCCCTTCAGAAGCAGAACTCCACAAGTACCACCTGGACCCCAGCCCTCCCGCCCCCTCACCAGCAGAGCCGAGTGGAAAATGTCAGCGGGGAGAGGCCTGCAAAGCTGGCGGGGTGCACTCCCGGCTGTGTGCTGTGGCTGCGCTGATTTATGAAGGCTGTCTGGGAGCCCAGCCAAGTCTGTAAGTCCCGGACAATTAGGAGGCGTGCTCCAGCCCTCAGCTGGCCACCGCAGGCCCGCGCCTGCCTCTCAGGCTCTGGGCCCAGCCTCACCCCTCCAGGCAGGGGGCCCACGGGCACCCCCAAAGGGGCCCCAGGCACCAATGCTGAGCCCACTTTGCAGATGAGGGCCAGGCAAGCCTGGACAGTGCCCATGTCTGAGCTTGAAGCCCAAAGGCCGCTTTAGCTTCTCAGGGGTTCTGAACAGGGGCCCATGAGAATGAACCGCAGAATGAATCCTAGCATGTCAAGACTAGCAAGGAGGGACTGCCCTGACCTCCAGAGGTGAACACCTCAGAATCAAAGTGTTGTCCAGCCCAATGGAATCTAGGGATCAGGGAATTGGACAGGGCCTCCGGACCATCCTCCTGTCCCCCTCCTGCCCCACCCCACTCCCAGCAGCCTTGGAAAGGGCACTCTAGAGCTCCCCAAGGGGCAGAACTTTGTTTGGAGGGGACGACACTTGAATCATCAAAGAAGCCACACCTCTCATGAAGCTCCAGGGCACTTGAAATGTGGCTGGTGCCCCAAAAAGTTTACGTGTGATTTCATTTTCATGACCTTCCATTAACACCGGTCCATGTGGAGGGTTGCAGATGAAATGCACTGAGTGTGTGTACGTCTCCTGCAGTATTTGGGACCCACTGCACTAGACATGCACAGACTCACAGGCCTCTCGGTGTCCTGGACTTTACCATCGGGTGTGGAAAGAGGTAGTCACTGGCTGGGGCACAAGGAACTCCGGTGGCACTGCAGCTTCAGCACTGGGCTACTAACCATAGGTCAGCGGTTCAAAACTACCAGCGGCTCTGAAGGAGAATCCTGGCATTGTTGGCTGCCGCAAAGATTTACAGTCTCAGAAACCTTATATAGGATCTCAAAGAGTCAGAATCGACTCGAGGGGGATACAATTGTTTCTGGGTAACCTTGAGCACATGGGATTAAGTGCTCAATTGTTAACCAAACGGTCAGCAGTTCAAACCCACCAGCTCATCAGAGAAAGATGTATTAAAGATTTTCAGAAACCCGATGGGGCAGGTTTACTCTGTCCTATGATGTCACTGTGAGGCAGAGTCTACTTGACAGCCATGTGTTTGGTGTTTTGGTTTGGGCCCTGGGCATAAAACTTGGAAGATCCTGGGTTAAACCAAATGACTGTAGAGGAGGCAGCTATGCCCAGGACACGGAGGGGCTGAATGCGTCTTTCTGCCCCAAACTAGATGGTTCCAGAACATGAGTGGGGTGGGTGCAAACTACAGCAAAAGGCAGAGGCTAGAGCTCCGTCCACCTGGGGTCCAGGTCCCACACCTGCCCCCATGCCCAGGTGCACCACCTTCTGCACACATTCCCTTCCTCAGGCACACACATTCCCACACACACACACTTGGACTAGGGGCTCAGCTCCCGGTGTGGGTGGGGGTGCTGCATACCTCAGGCGGCACAAAAGCAGAGAAGTTTTATAAACATTTACAGCAACGTAGACAAAACAGTTTATTGTAGGGCGGCCTGAGCCTCCCCCAGCGCTGGGGCGAGGCTGGCATGAGGGAGCCCTGGGCCCCCGCCAGCGATGTGTTTGCAGAGTGGAGGTGTTTTCGTCTGAGGGCAGTCTGCATGCTTTGACCTTTGTCATGTCTGCTACTGAAATTTCCTGTCTCTGTTATTCTCTTCTGCAGTAAGACGATATGAAACCCAAAACTTTTATTGCCCCTTTTAAACAGACTTTATAGCTCCCCATCTACCTCACAGAGCGCCTGCTCAGGGCTGGGATTGTAGTTAGGGGCGCGTGCTGGGCACCGAAGGAATTCGCCCAGCTCTGGGCCAGCCACAAGGCCTGGCACGGGAGAGCTTGGAGACTAGATGGGCCCGGGGGCTGGGGGCGGGAGCAGCTTCCAGTCTGCAGAAGGCCCCCGTGGAAGCTGGTTCACACAGCCAGTGTGGAACCAGGTGGTGGGCAGTGGGGGACACTGGCCCCCAGAGATTGGCTGCTCATTCTGGTCATCCTTCTGATGCCATATAAACCAGGCCCCCCCTCCCCATCTTTGCACCCAGCTTCTCCTCCTTACTAAGGGATACAGCAATGCTGCCCAGCTGACTGTTGGGGTGTGGGTGGATGAGTGACATCAGAGGCCAGATTGGGACGGCCTGGGAAAGTTGAGGCAGAGAAAAGGGGTCAGGGGTGGAGGTTGGGACATCTGAGTCATGCTCCCAGCATCCTCTCAGCCTCCCCTCCCCCCACACCGCCTACTCTTAGCGGTGCACCCTCACCTGAGGGGAACCATAAAGAACAAAGGTCAGAAAGTTTCAATGACACTTTCATTAGCCGTTTCTGGGTGGGGCTTAGAACCCATTTCTTGATGAAAGTCTGAAGATATTGTGGGACTAAAGATATCCGTGTGAACATTCTTGGAAAATTCAATCTGATGCGTTCCATTATGAACCAATCGGTTGTTGGAGGCTAGAGCCCACCCAGAGGCACCTCACACAAAAGGCCTGATGATCTGCTTCTAAAAAAATCATCAGCCCTTAAACCCCCAGTGGTTGGGCACAGTTCTAGCCCAACACTCGTGGCATCGACGTGAGCCTTTATCTGAGGCTGCTTGTCTCCCACAGAAATGTGAGGTCAGGGGTGACAGAGAGAAAAGATCACACCATCCCCACAAATCATACATTTCTGACTAGTTACCCTTCAGCCTGGACATCTCCTGGAGTCGGGTTGGATCTTTCTAGACATTGAGTTACACGCAATATTGATTAAAAGGTATATGAACTTTTAAGGAAAGGAAAGGTGGTTGTGTGCATCAATTCTGGTTCATACTCCACAAGGACAATGTTCTACATCCTACTTTGGTGAGTAGCGACTGGGGTTTTAAAAGCTCATGAGCGGCGGTCTGAAGAGTCAGCTTTCGGTCTCCTCCTGTCCAGAGGAAAGAAGATTGGAGAAAATGGAAACATACAGAAACAATGAGTCCAGTGAACTAGTGGACCACGAGAACCTCAGTCGCCACGACTCTGAAACCAGAGAACCAGATGGCGCCCAGCTACCACCACCTACTGCTCTGAAAGGGATCCCATTAGAAGGTTCTAGATAGAGGAGGGATGTAGAACCAAACTAAAAAAAAGAC